AAACTAAATAAAGATTGTTAAAAAAAAAAACTAAACGAACACATAGCACTGAGTCAGAACTGTTTTTGTTGTGTTAACAATGGAATATTAATATATCATCCATACTTGGTTACTATAATTTACAATTTTACCCTAAGGTGTGCTACAGGCTATGAACTTCTTTTTAAGAAAAAAAATGATTATCTGTATCGGCCATGTGAGGCATGTAATTATCAGTTATCGGTTGGAAAATCCATATTGTGCATCCCTAATGTATTTCTGGAGTTCTGTGTCCATATGTTAATAATATAGATAGGCTTAATTCTGTTTTAAACTGGATTGGTTATAGCTGCAACTTTGCAGGGGTTTGGTAGGCAGCACATGTGGGGGGTGTCCAACTGTCCCTACATCATCACACTAAACAGCAGAGATTAAATTGAGCCATTAGCAACTCAGTCCCAGTACATAGACCTATGCTACACACAGAAAGCCATTAGAGCAGAGAGTTGACAGAGTGGAGTAACTTGAGTTCAAGACAACTACACTCAAACAGCCTATTCAACAAATGTGTAGAAAGCAATGTTTTCAACTGTTTTGTCCACAGTGTCTTTCATGTTTTACACAAACACAGGTGGCTGTTTAAATTAACAGTAACCAGTACATACCGGCAGTACATGCAGAAAATGAATCACAGCATCAGAGGGGAAGACAGAAAGTATAATTTAAATTTTCAATGTTTCGTCAACTCGAGTTTCTTAACCTAGTTCATTGTCTACTGCAACCTTTCCACTATCTCCCTGTGTGTGGGTGTATGTGTGAAAGCCTCAGCCCAGTTTAATCATAATAATTTGAACGTGCACAACACAGTGGAAGGTTTCAAAACATCAACAAATCCTCCGCATTATTCAGGCAAGAGGTGGAGCAGCCAGGTTTAGCAAACAGAGACAGGAAGAAGACGTGTTTTTCTTTAAAACATACAGATACCATCATCAGCTCTTATCACCAAAAAGTTATCACCACTTTTTCATTTGTAATTTTCGCGTGTTAGAAGCCTCTCTCTCTCTCTCTCGCTCTCTCTCTCTCTCTCTCTCTCTCTCTCTCGTTTAGTAGACCCTTTTTATTTTTTCAGGTTATACAAGTAGGCTTTCAGTGTATTTGTGTATATATTTTTTGTGTGTTTGTTCTTGGTCTACTGTAATTTCTGAAAATTTAAATTGCAAATACTGCAAAGTGTAATTGTGTAGGCCTGGTATACTGTGCTTTGTGTCTATGTATGCATTTTCGATTTCTTGATGCAGCATTAACATTTTTTAATTCTGATGGCTCCAAAAAGTGGTAGCCACAAGTATATTCAAACTTCCAGGACCCATATTATTTATGAGATAAAGATTTGGGATTTTATGTTGTTGCTTATGGTCTCGCACTGTTAATTCCAAGTTATCTTATCCCACACAATCTGGTCTCTGATAGCCTTTTGGCTGTCTTGCATATACCCCAAATGATTACAATAGGCCCATATATAGTATTTAAAAAAATAAGAATTATTATTATCGTCATATTATTATTCTGTTAGAAGAATGATATTTTGAGGGATTTGATGATCACCCATTGCAAATATGAGTGGGTTTGTATTATAGTGCATATTTGTGGCAGCATGTCAAATTTCGATATATTACCATTAAAAAGGGTCAGGGTTGTTTGTAACTCTGATATGAAAATCTTCCCCAAATGTTGCATGATTGATTCCTGGCTTAAAGACATCTACTTGCCATCATTCAATTTATGTTGGAGGTTATGCTGTCTGTGTATTGTGTGTAAATATGTGTGTGT